TAAGATCACACAGCTTCCAAATATCATTTACTTTTCTTAAATAATATTTTTTATTCTTCTTTAAATAGAAGGTGCAGAATCAATGCTTGAAAGATTTAAATTGCGCATAATCTCAGATGAAATCTCCTATATACTATTTTACCTCACTCAGCTCACAGTTCTGTTTCTTGATCATAGTACTGTATCACTAATCCTCAACAACCATCTTACAGAATCCATTTATTCAACAAGCACTTAACAGGTGCTGCTCTGGACTGGGAACTCAATGAGATGCTCAGTGTCACCCATCAAACAGCAGGACAGCAAAGCAAGTAGTGATGTCTTAATATCCCCGAACCACCATAATCAGAAACATAGATCAAATGTCCTATGGTGAGGAGGTCAGACGGTTTTTTTTTTTTTTTTTGAGACAGAGTCTTGCTCTGTCACTCAGGCTGAGTGCAGTAGCGCAATCTTGGCTCACTGCAACCTCCACCTCCTGGATTCAAGCAATTCTCCTGCCTCAGCCTCCCCAGTAGCTGGGACTACAGGCATGCGTCACCATGCCTGGCCAATTTTTTTTATATTTTTAGTAGAGGTGGGGTTTCACTGTGTTAACCAGGATGGTCTTGACCTCCTGACCTCCTGATCCCCCTGCCTCGGCCTCCCAGAGTGCTGGGACTGCAGGCTGAGCCACTGCGACCTGCCAAAAACAGTTTTATATACAAAGGGCAGTACTTTGCAAGGGCGTACATTCTAAAAGCCATACTGCATTTCTTTGTATGGGAAGTCCTGTTGAGAAGACTGCTGACACTAACATCTACCAAGTCCCCTCAGAAACCAAGACCTGAGGAAGAAAAAACAGCCCCATTTCTCATGTTACAAAAATCTAAACTATATTTTGAAAGCTGCTCATGTTCAAAAGCAAGATTAATTTGCTTCTGGAGGGGCCAGGCATGGTGGATCACACCTATAATCCCAGCACTTTTGGAAGCAGAGGTAGGAGGATCGCTTGATCCCGGGAGTTTGAGACCAGTCTGGATAATATAGCAAGACCTTGCCTCTTAAAACAAACAAACAAACAAACAAACAAACAACAGTCCAGGCACAGTGGCTCACACTTGTAATCCCAGCACTTTGGGAGGCCAAGGCGGGCGGATCACCTGAGGTCGGAAGTTGGAGACTAGCCTGGCCAACATGGCGAAACCCTATCTCTACTAGAAGTACAAAAATTAGCTGGGTGTGGTGGCATGCACCTGTAGTCTTAGCATTTTGGGAGGTCAAAGCAGGTAGACCATCTGAGGTCAGGAGTTCAAAACCAGCCTGGCCAACATGGTGAAACCCTGTCTCTACTAAAAATACAAAAAAATGAGCCAGGCACGGTGGTGCACACCTGTAATCCTAGTTACTTGGGAGGCTGAGGTGGGAG